GTAAATTTTGCTATGCAGAAGATGTTTGATTTATGGTAGTGTGCCTCTTGATGACAGAGACATCCTGAAGAATTTGTGGTTAAGTGATTTCATGGTTTTTGAACATAATAGAACATACGTACAGAGCCCCAGCTGGTTCAGTCTGCTGCATACCTCGTGTATATGTCTCTGTGTCTGTGCTTCATCCTGTTGCTTCAGGCCAGGGATAGCACAGTGACATGAGAATGGTGCAGTCAAGGGACACTGTAAACCCAGACCTGTGAGGCTGTGGCCTGAGGAACATGGTGTACGGTTTCACAGCAAGCTTTTTGTTTTGTTTTGTTTTACATAGCAAAAGTACACCCTAAGCAGTTGCCTAAGTCAAGAACCAAGGTATCATCTTTGACTCTCTTTTTAGGTCATATCTAATGAGTTATCAAAATTATGCCTCGAGTATTTTCTGAATCTTTAAAAATTTCTCTGCTGTGTCAGTATCATAACTTGAAGCATGTTCATCTGTTTGCCTCATTCTTTCATACTGCACAGGGTGATTTTGTTTCCTACATTTAAAAAATTCTGCGACAGAGTTCCATCATCCTGAACCATGCATTTCAGATTCTCTACCGTGGGCGCAGAGTGCCTGTGTTACCTGCTTCTGCCGGCTTTTCTCTTGATCTTTTTTTTTGGGGGGGGCAGTGAATACATTTCTTTCTTTCTTCCTTTCTTTCCTTTTCTTTCTTTCTTTGCTGGGGATCGACTCAGGACCTTGTGCTGGTGAGGCAGGTGGTGGCACCACTGAGCTAAATCCCTGGCCCTGGGTCTTGATCTTGACCACTCTCAACTCTCAGCACTTTCTTTCTCTAGGCTCCAGCTAACTGGTGTGTTCTAGTTCCTCAGAAGCTCTCTGCTGCTGTCTGATTGATTGTCTGCTCTTTCCTGTTAGGACGGTCTTCCTCTTCTCTCCCCTGCACCTAACATTCATGCTTCTCTCTCGGAAGATATGCCACTTTCTCTTTGAAGCCCTTCTGACTTGCCTTGCCAACACAGAGTTTGTATTGGGGGACCTTCCCATGTTAGGTGTCTGGTGCTTTCTACTTAGCATATCATAAAAAATTTATGGGCTGTACCTCATGTGCAATAAGTTGTATCCATTTAAAGTGTAATATTTAATGGGTTTTGATAATTGCATACACCAGGAAACCAGTGGACAATGAAACGATAGAATGTTTAAATTATTTCTAAAAGGTTTTTTCCATCCTTCATCTCTCTTCCCTCTCCCCTCCTCTAGGGAATCATTGACTTGCTTTTTTTCCTATAGATTAGTTTGCATTTTCTTGAAGTCTTTATTATTTTGAGTCTTACTTCATAGATTTATTTTTGTGTATTGGTAATTTGTTCTCTTTTTTATCAGTATTTGTTCTTTTTTATTGCTTGAGTGATATTCTAGTGTTTACTCATTTACTGTGCTGTCTTCAGTTTCTCTGTAGTTTCTAGTTTTCCTGTCGGCTCTTTCTTGATTCCTGGCACTGTACTTCTTTTTTTCTTTGCTAAGTTTTATCCCAGGTGTCCCAATTCTAAGTCCCCTCACTTTAACACAGTTTTTAATGACTTACTTGAAGATTTATGGATTTGATATTATAGCAAGATAACACCTTTTGGAGGAAAAAATTTCTCTAAAAGCAATAGAGATTCCCACACTTTCTGGTTTATAACCCCCTAAGTGTTTTAGTCATTACTATATTTCATGGTCCCCCAAGTCTAGAGCCTAGATTGAAAGAAGTACCTCAGAATTATACTTACTGTTAGAATAAAATAACTTAGTAAGTTATTCATACTGTAATTGTTTAGCCGTTTAAAAATAGCACATAGGACATAAAATTTATTATATTGTTTACCACGGTTACCACTATTAGGTTGTGTATACCTTTGGGCACTACACAGCTCTCAAACACTGGAAGTTGATAACCAGCACACCTAACTTCCTGTTCCATATTTGATTTTCATGTTACTTGCTTGCTTTCTTTACACCTTTCCAAAGTTCAGTTCACAAATACTGTACATGACTCCTTTAGAAGAAGCATAAAACAGACTGATTTTGAATTTGAGAACATTCGTGAGCTATTGGCTCCCCTTGTTTCATATATGTATTCTGTTTTTCCCTCAGAATACCTTCTTCTGTCTTTGGGAGTTTACCACGATACCATGAGAACTATGAATCTGTCTGTGCATAGGTGTTCAACAGTTGAGCATAAGACAGTGTTCTAATTCCTCTTTATTTTCTTAGTCTAATTTAATTTTTTGACCTGAAATAGTTGGACTAGGTTGCATTGCATTTTAAACACTAGCAAATTACTAATTCTCTAGTACCATCTGAAAAATACTCATTTTATCAGTAAACTTTCACAAATTGATAACATCCGTGGTATTTCTGTAATCTTAAGTATTTTATAAACTTGGTATAATAAGTATTCTATTTTAATGTATAAGGTTAAGAAAACTTAAAAAACCAATAACAAAACTGTTCTTGCTGTGTTCAGCTTTATATATGTGTATATATATTATATACATAGATATGCATCTGTAGCTTTTTAGTATAAAATAGGTTTTTGTTGTATAATCTAAGGCATGCTGCCTAAATAGCAGCAGCAGGTAGATAAGATGGAATGATTGTCTGGGTTACTTGTTAGTACGTATGTTGTATTGCCATAAATTAACAGGGATTGATGCAAGAGGTCTAGTTTTGTTTTGCCTTTTTTTTGGGTGGAACTGTAATTTGAACCTGGGACCTTCATATGGGGCTACATCCTTAGTCTTTTCATCTTTTATTTCACGGGTACATCTTGGTGAATTGCTAAGTTGCTTAGGTGAACTCAAACTTGTCTTCCTGCCTCATCCTCCCAGAGTTCTGTGATCACAGGCAGATGCTCCATGTCCGGCTGACATCTGTGTTTTCATCTCTCATTTTACGGATTACCAGCTTACTTTCTTTAGAAAAAATAATACACAGTTTTTCCCACTGTTTTTTTTTTTTAAGCCCTGAATCCATTTTTTCCTCAGTGGAGAATGATGGCAATGTGCTTTCTCACACAGGGTTGTATAGATTCTAGTCTGCCTTTGCCATTCTGTTTACACATTAGTCTTTAGGTGACTCATCCCTCCCTCTTTTCCTCCTTCCCTGAGCCAGGGCTGTAAGTGCCCTACCATTGAACTGTACCCCCCAGCCAGCGCTCAGGTTTTTGATGTTGATTTAATTATTTTAAAACAAGCAAATAATCTTTCTTCTAGAAACACATTAAAATGTGGGTTCCTATTATGTAAGATTCTTTAAAAAGGAGTTGAATACCAGAATAATTTTATGTAGTTGAAATACAAATTCTTTGTTAACTGTATGTGGAAAATATCTTTGGTTTATGAGAAAAAAACTTTAATAACTTCCTGGTTATTTTCAACAAACAAATTATTAAATTTTGTATTAACTGTGTGAAGTTGGAGTAAGATATCATTCTTTACCTCTTAAGTATGGAACATGAGTTTTCCAAGCACCATGTACTTTAAAATGACATCTTTTCTTATCTTTGCTATTATAAATTAAGTTTGATGATGGACTTCCTCTTTTGTTTCATATATTGCTATGTCTGTTTTTATGTACTAATTTATTGTTTTATTATAATTTTCCTTTGTATCTTGGTTAAAAAGTTTCTTAACTAGTTGGGGATATAGCTCAGTAGTCCTGCGCCTGCCTCACAGGCTCAGGATCCTGAGTTCAGTCCCTGGTACAAAAAAAAAATGGCTCTCAACTTCCTTTTCCTTGAAGCTGATGCTGGTCTTTTTTTTTTTTTTTCTACATAAATTTAGAATAGTTTATTAAATGGCTACACAAATCTCTGATATATTAATTAGAATTGCTTCATATCAATTTGAGTAGAGAATTGATGTCTTTAAAATACTAAAGTTTATAATCTTTGTATATGCTGTAACTTCCTTTTTACCTGGGTTCTTCTATATTTTCTAGGAAAACTTCATACTTTTTTCCCGCAGTGGTTTATGTCTCTTTATACCTGTGACTTAGACAGGGGCTCTCAAGCTAAAGCCCAGAGAACACAATCTATACCCCAATATTTTAAGGCCAATAATGAAAGGATGCTAGTTAAGAATTTTATAAGTAGTGGGGAAAAAACCAAAAGAATATAACATGTAAAATCATGTGAAAATTAAAATTTTGGTGTTCACAAGTACTTTTATTGGAACATACAGTAATACCTCAGTTGATGAATGCTACTGTTTGTGAACAGTTTGGTTGGCAAACAGACGTTCAGTGGAATTTTGCTTCCATTCTTGAATTCTGCATCTGGTGACAGACATGACCACAGCCATCTTTTCCAGAATTGTGGAACAAATCAAATTTTTGAAGCAAGACAGGACTGTATATTTATTCATTATTATATGACAGCATTTGTGTTACAGGTGATGGAAGTGGTTGTGTTCCTGGTGACTGTGGACTGCACATCTCAGAATGTTTGCTCTTCAGTGCTTCGTAGAAAACTTTGTTCACCTTTTAGAATTATTATTTGTTGTATTTCACAGGATTCTCCATGTGCTGAGGGGAAATTATGGCCACTAACTACATTTTTGTAGCATACCTTTTGAAAGAATGGATGATTCAGGATCTACTCTTTGACTTTGAAATACTCTGATTTCTGTGGGAAAAAGATTCATTCACATGACTCCTTCTTGGTGCAAACCTTCTTTCCAGTGGGAGATAGGACATTTTTTCTGTCTTTTGAAGGTTTTAGCTTCCTTTCCCTTCCTGCATCTCCAGTTTCAGTAAGGTGTGAATTCATCCTGAGTCATACTTACCACAATGAGTTCCATTCTTCAAATAGGTTTGAACAGAGTAAAAGGTTGAAAATTTGCTATCATTGATTAACATAGTAATCACCATACTTGTTTTGTATTTTTGAGGATTTAATGTTAATAAAATACAACTTAATTTGTCTTTTTACTTATTTTCTCCTGTATAGGAAATTAAACGAGAAACAGACTCTAAGGATGACAATTTGCCCATCAAACGGGAAAGGCATGGAAATGTAGCAAGTCTTGTACAACGAATAAGCACCTATGGCCTTCCAGCTGGAGGAATTCAGCCTCATCCACAAACCAAAAACATGAAGAAGAGTATGTAAATGATTCCATTCCTGCTTAGTTACACTAAAATAGGAGGATATGTTATAGCTGTTTCTTCTGCAGCAGACTAGTAACTTCAGCCTATTCTTGGGTTATTGGTTACTGGCCTGTATAGCCAGTCTTCATTTTTAGTCATGTGAAGTCTGTAACGTACTGATAGTCATATGTAGGAATTTCAGGTTGTTTTTTTCCTTTTGAGTTTATTGGTACATTTTAGGTATACAGTACAGTTACATTCATCACTGGGATCTTGTACCTTTACATGACAGATCTTTGTTCTCATTTCCACCCCCATACCCTGCCCTCCCTTCACCCCTTGCACCCTTCCCTATTTACAAACACTTTATTTCCATTTTTTCATTTTCTCATATTTTTTTCTTTTCCCTTATTTCCTTTCCCCTACCCTTCCCACTTCCCCTACTCCTTTAGCCCTTTTCTTCCTATTTCACATTGTTAATTATACCATTTGGATCTTTTTACACTTTTAGTTTTTCACACCAGAGAAACTGTTCAGTAAGGAATTACAGATTGAAGTATAAGGCTTTGCTTTCTTACTAATTTTATAGACTCTTTAGATAAACAACTTAACTATAGCATTTATTTACTAGGATGCTTAAGTGCCTGCTCATTCTTAGCAGAATAGACCCAGGAATTTTAGAAAGTTCTTTTTCTTTAGTGGTTGGATATCTGAACATATGTATTTAATTTCCAGAGCGTTCTAGCAGAGTTCCTTTAGGTACTCTATAAATATATTAAGAAAAAACTTGGTAGAGAGAAAAAGTTAGTTTAAATTGGTGTGTCCAACCAAAAACACAAATAAAAACAAAACATCTATATGTTAAGGCAGAGTGAATGTGCATGTGTTTTGATTTTTGTGTAAGCAACTGAAAAGAAGATCGTCATATAAGTCCTGATGTGCTTTGTTTAGTAGAATGAAGACTAGATTTTTTTGGCATGGTGAATAGTTTTTCTTTAGTCCTCACTGTGTTGTTGGCTTGTGTAGTCATGAATCCTTTGAAGCTTGTGCTCTTTCATGTTATTTAGCAAATTGATTTCTTTGGCAAAACAAGTATTTTCCAGAGCAACTATAGAGTTGTATAATCTGAGAAAAAGTTGATTAAGTTGCTTATGTCTCAGAAAAGTTTGCATTTCTTGTAGCTAAAACAGGTACAAATCATAGTACTTGTGAAAATCAACCACAATGATAATGGTAGAGTACTTACTGTGCTTAGATGTAAAAAGTTGACATCTTTTGACTTTTTTTTTTTGGTACCAGGGATTGAACTTGGGTCCTTGCAAGGCAGGCCACTGAACCTCTGAGCTAAATCCCCAGCCCACATCTTTTGACTTTTCAACTCTACCTATATTCAGTGTAGAATATTGGTACTTAGTTCACTTTACATTTGAAAAAAATTTGATAAGGCATGGACCCTACTCTTGACGTCATTGCTTGTGGACTTCCTTTTTTAGCAGAAACTCAGCTACAGGGGAAGTGATTTTTCATCTAGTTAATAATTATTTGAAAGAAAAGGTACATTGAGATTGAGATTGCATTGGTAGATTACGTGTAGGTGTACTGAAAGGAATAATGTTGCACATGAAAAAACTAGCTGACAATACTTCACATTCCAGAAAATGTAGGGAATAGTGTGCTTCCTAATTCTGAGTTGGTGCTGGAGACGGTAGTGGAAATTCTGCATACTATCAGATTATAGCCACTGACTATATTTTTGTAGCATACCTTTTGAAAGAATAAATGCATTAGTTCAGGCTCTGCTCTTTGACTTTGAAATACTCTGATTTCTATTGGAAAAAGATTCATTCAAATGACTCCTTCTTGGTGCAAACCTTCTTTCCAATGGAAGATAGGACATTTTTTCTGTCTTTTGAAAAATTTAAGTCTACAAAAAGATGAAGGAATAGTTGTGCAATGTACGGTATACCCTTCTCCTAAGTTTGCTGTTAATGTTTGTCACATTGGCTTTATCTTCATATCTGTACAGAAATACTAATACATTTTTCACACAGTCAATTGAAAGTGCATTGCAGGTGTGATACTTTTGCTCAGTGAATAGTTTCTTTTTTGATTATGATGATATTTCTAAGTTTTAAGTGTTACACAATGTATCAGAAATCTAGCTAGTGTCTTGAGCAGCTTGAACTGTTCATGTAATGGTGTAAATATTATGAAACTTTTACTCCCAAAGGTAAAATATTTGTAAAGACTGAATTATATGGAAAATGTCTGAATCACTCTTAACATTTAGTGACAGTATGGTCACTTACAGAGTTGATTTCTAGAAAATTTAGGTGAACTAAATAGGTATTGACAACTGGCTTCAGTTAAAACTCAAGACTTCTGACTTCCAACCTTGTGATACTTCTGTTGCAGCAGCATGTCTTTCTCTATAGAAAGTATTTGGAAGTATTTATGGTCAGGATCTGATGTATTGAAATTCGGACTATCTGGATTACTCCTCAGGATTTTTCTTTGTTGCCACCTGACATGAGTCATTATATTACCAGACCCTATTTTGTTGGTGAAACTAACCCTTTGACCTAAATATCTGCCACATCTTACTAATTCTTGCATAATGTCTTACTCACCTTTCATTGTATAATTCTATTCTTCCTTCAAGCCTTCCACTTCTGCTTCAATTCAGACTGTTCTTTCTATTAACTTTTGGAATACTTGTAGTTTGTACTGAACATTTTACTGTCTAATTGTATATCACTTGTTTAATTCTTTAAGTATGCATTTAAATTTTTAGGAAAAATGGCAGGATTGTTGGCCGTAGGCTATTGATAGAATGTGGCCCTTTTGGGACACAGGCTTTGTATGGTTAGACCTGTGTGCTTGTTCACTCACTCATCCACAGATATTTAATGAGTGCTGCTGTGGTGATGTCCCTCCAAAGTTCAGGGTGAAACTTGATCCCTCATTGTGATGGTAGTGAGAGATGGGGTCTTTGAGAGGGGTTAAGAGGGCTGTGTCCTCACAAAGAGATTAGTACCTTGTGAAAGGACTGGAGGAAAATAGCTTTTTGTCCTTCCACTTCGGCCAAAGTGATGACTGTGTAGCAAGGGGGTCCTCACTAGACATTGAACTTCCTGGCACCTTGATCTTGGACTTAGCAGCCTCCAGAATATGACAAAAAAATTATATTTATGAATTTTCCAGTCTCAGGTATTTTGTTAAAGCGCCACAGACTACGGTAGATACATAGTATAAGCCAGGTACTTATGTTGGGTGCTGGAGAGAGAGCATCAGCAAACCCAGTGTCCGTTGTTATTTAACCCATAGAGTAGAAGAGGATTCTCACAAGAAAATAACTCACTGTGTCACATGAAAAGGAAAAACGGTACGTTATCAGTAGTAGGTAGGTGCAGACTTCAGTCTGGCAGAGTATGCGACACAGTGGACGCACAAAGAAAGAATACCTGGTCCATGAAGCTGTTGAGGGGTAGTGAATTCTAAACTGAAAACTGAAGAGAAATTCAAGGCAAGACAAACGAAGCTCTATGGATGAAAGTGTCCTTGGTGAAAGAAACAAGATGTTTAAGTTTCAGAAATAATTGAGAATGAATGCCATGGTTAAGGCATATATTCTGTTTAGTCATCCATATGAATCTTGTGATTTAAAAACATGGTATGTGAATGAAGGTGTTCTTTTTCAAATGATCTTTTCACCCGGATTTTCTGTTGTTGCTTCCCTTAGAGACCAAAAAACGTCAGTGTAAAGTTCTCTATGAGTACAGTCCACAGAATGAGGATGAGCTGGAGCTGAAGGTGGGAGATATCATTGATATTAATGAAGAGGTAAGGCTGCCACAGGAGTGATCACCAGCAGTTATTTAAATGATAGTCTGAGTTCAGAAAAATGCTTGGGAAGAATATTAATTTTAATGAGAATTTATGCCAGTTTGTTTTTAATAAAATTTAAAGATGTAAGATTTTCTGTATTCATCCTTGCTCTATACTAGTATTTGTATATTATAGTTGTATACTTCCCTTGAGAAATTAGGAAAAAAAACTTACTTTAAACTAAAAATTAGAGTGAGGACATGGAATAGTTTTTCTGTGTTCTGAACTCAACTACAGGCACAGAGCAGTACTTTTTGCATAATAAAGGGATGCAAAGTAGAAGCTTGTTAAAGGCTTTGCTGTGTTTGAATTATTGCAGTCAACTATTAGCCATATAAATACCTTTTTTGGCCAAGTGTGGTGGCACAAGCCTGTAATTCCAGCACTTGGGAGACTGAGGCAGGAGGATCACTGCTAGTTTGAGGCCAGTCTGGACTGCATAGTGAGTTCAAGCCCAGTCTGAATTACATAGTGAGACCCTGTCTCCAAACAAACAAATGAAACAAAGCACCCCTACTTTTGTACAGTTTAATATTTATTATTAGATATAAAAATATTTTAAAAATCACTTTTCACATCTCTGCTTTTATCATTGAAAGATTATTAAAGTTTTGTTTGGCATATTTTCAAAGTGTGTATTTTGATAGCATATAGCAAGGATTGATTTTGGAGCGTTCATACCATACTGTAATGAAATTTACCACTAAGGTTTATGTTAACTTCTAGTGTGTTCATACAAAAGACAATTCCATCTTATTTCAACATGGTAGTAATAATAACAAAACATTTATTGAGCCTAAATTATGTATGAAGTACTGTACTGTTTCACATTTATTATTTCCTTTAAGCTTTTTTGTTTTGGTACCACAGATTGAACTCAGTACCTTGAGCTTGCGAGGCAAGTGTGGTACCACTGAGTTAAATCCCCATCTCCTTTAAACTTCTGAACAACCCAACAGGATAGGAATTTTTATCCTCATTTTGCATACGGAGGGATTGAATTGCAGAAGATGACTGGTTGCTCCAGGTACAATTGTTAATACAAACTTAGTGGCAACAGTGGATGTATGGGGTCAGAAATTCAGATAAGGCACAGCAGAGCTTGCTGTGTCCCATAGTGTCTGGGGCCTCAGATGGGAGGGTTCAAAACTGGGGGCTGGTAGAGTCATGGAAGGCTGTTGTACTCACAGTCTAACGCCTAGAAATCTCACAGGCTAGAACTGCTGGCCAGAGGCCACTTTATAGCCTTTGTTTGGCTTGGCTTTTATTTGGGTGCCTTGGGGGTAGTTAGACTTACAAATTGAGCATCCCTAATCTGAAAATATAAGATGTTCTGAAATCTAAACCTTTTTTTCCTCCCTGGCACCAGGGATCAAACTCAGGCTCTTGTGTTTGTGAGGCAGATGCGGCACCACTAAGCTAAATCCCTGGCCCTGGAATCTAAACCTTTTTATGTACTGCTGTTACACTAAAAAAGTTTCAGATTTTGGAGCATTTTGAATTTTGGATTTTCAGATTAGGGATACTCAGTCACTGATATCAGTGCAAATATTTGAAGTCTGAAATGCTCTGGTTCTAAACATTTTGATGGGAACACCAAATTTGTAATTCAAAGCAAATTCACAGCTCTAAATGCAAGCATTTCAGCAAGCATGGTGAAATGCCTTTACAGTGTAGCCTTGGAAATGGTAGTGTCACTTTCACTATGTTTTGCAGGTACAGCCCATTACGATGGAAGGCACAGGACACAGAGATCACCACTTCATGTGGCAGTAGTGTTAAGACCACACTTGTGGGATGGAGATCTTAGTGTAGCCATCTGCACCTAACTTTCTGCTTGTTATAGGGGAGTCCAAATTTAAATCCATCCAATTCTGTTTTTGACAATCCATTCTTTACAGCTATGCTGCCTTACCTCCCAGTAAGTAAGCCTTGTTACCCACTTTCAGATTAATTACTTACTTGCAGATAGTTAGGGTTCAGGTACAGATGGTAATCTGGTGTTTCTCTCCCTTTGCTGTTCAGTTTGGTTTACTTAACCCCATCTTGTCTGTTCTGAATAACTTTCAGTCTTTTAGTACTTGCATCTGCTAAAAACTGAATGGTTTATGCTTACTGCCTTCCTTTACTCCTTTAGACAGCTTATGTTCTAGCCACCTTGCGCTTATTTCATTCTTCCTTTCATGAGTAAATTATTTATTCCTAGTTTACCATATTTTTCATGTGCTTTTTAACTTGGAAAACTCACACTCGGGTTTTAATTCTATATTCTATCCTTTTAGACAGTGTGTGTGTGTGTGTGTGTGTGTGTGTGTGTGTGTGTGTGTGTGTGTTTTGGTACTAGGGATCAAATGCGGGACTTAGTGCTTGCAAAGCAGGCAGTGGAACCACTGAGCCTGAATCCCTGGACCCGGAGTGTGTTTTTGATTGATTCAGGCACTTGCTGTGTGCTCCCATAGTATTTTGTTGATATTTTTGTTATAGCACCTCTTACAATGTATTATAATTATCTGCTTATTGTGTATTTTCTTTCTTAGATTGTTCTCTTCAAGGGCAGGGATTCTTATGTACAAATTTGAATTTTTTTCTTTTTTTTCTCATTGAGTTTGATGGTACATTTTAGGTATACAGTATAGTTAAATTCATCATTGGGATCTTATACCTTTAAATGATAGGTCTTGGTTCTCATTTTTTCCCCATACCCCTACCCTCCCTTCATCCCCTTTGAATTTTTTTTTTAGAAGTTAACACTGTGGCTTATACATACCTGTTAGAGGAATAACTTAAAAGTTTGCTTTGAGATTATGATTAGGCAGAAAACTAGACCTTTCTAGCTATGATATTTCATATACTACTGCTAAATAAATTTTAATAGTGTGCATATTGAAAATTGCCTTTACTCATTAAAATTAACTGCTTAGCATCCTTAGCAGAAATCATACATTTTGAAACAATTATTAACCTCATGGAAATTGAGTACTGTTATTATTAGTGAATGTAAATCTTTTTTTATAAGAGCTTGATTAATGAGGATATTTCTTTTTGGAGAGGGGTGTTTAATAGAGTCTGATACCTGAATTTTTAAAAGAAATTCTTTTTCATACTGTGGTTAAAATTCATTGTTCAATGGAAGGCTAGTAATTTTTTTGTGGCATTTAGGATGTTGCATTCTTTTTTTTTTTTTTTTCTTCCTGTGGTACCGCGGATCGAACTCAGGTCCTTGCACTTGCAAGGCAGGCCACCGAACCACTGAGCTAAATCCCCGGCCCCTAGGATGTTGCATTCTTAATCATCAAACTGTATCCAAGGCAAAAATTTCTAAATATGGTTAAATAATGTATGTCATAATAGTAACTTATTTGTTTTTGTTTGTTTTTGGTACCGGGATTGAACACAGGACCTTGCACTTGGCAGGCAGGCACAGCACCATCCCGGTCCTCATAATAGTAATATTTAAAAGAGTAACACTCTAAAAGAGAGCTCTGTACTTGCCGTTTGTACTTCTTTATGCCTAGCTGATACTTCCATGAAAAGTACTCACTTCATAGATGGTTTTCACTGTTACAAGATGTTATCAGTATGATTAATTCCACACATAACTAATGCTAATCGATATAATCTACTTAAAACATACCTTTCCCTTTGTGTTTCGTTGCTTTAAAGAGTTTATTTTGCATCATTCACGCATCTGTTTTTGTAGCTTCATTTTCCCACAGGACAGGGTTTTCTCTTAAAAGACGTTTTTACTATTTTCAAGTTGTGTGCTGTTTCAGGTGGAAGAAGGCTGGTGGAATGGAACCCTGAACCACAAGGCGGGACTGTTTCCCTCAAACTTCGTGAAGGAGCTGGAGGGCACAGATGATGGAGATGCTCTGGAAGCCCAAGACGAGCCAGGTAGGAAACCGCACGTTCCTGCATAGATTTTAATGCACTAACTGTATGGCTGCTTTAGGGTTAGTTTTTGAAACTGTTCTTACTTCTTTTTAAACTTTCAGCGACTTAGTCTGTTTTTATGAAGGACATTATGATAAACATAGTCCAGTGATGACGAACCTTTAGAGCTTTTGGTGATACGCCCTTCTGTGGCACACACGTCATAAGTTTGTTACCACAGATCAAATAATTTCCTATCTTTCCTTCTTGGTCACTGCTTCAAGCATGAATAAACTTTTAATACAGTGACTAAAAACGCTATGTCATCTGTTGTCTTCCTACTTTTAAGATACATTTACTGTGTACTTTTGATCTCTGAGTTTGCAAGTACCTCACACTTTTACAAATGAAACTTTTGTTTTTCATATTCACGTTATAGATTTTCTCTGTGTACTTTTCATTTGTTTTGTGATGTCATTTAGATACAGTACACACAAATTCATCTTAATTTGCTTATGTTTTAAGAGTGTGATTCTGAAAATTTTACCCTAGGCTGTATTTGAATTTTGTTACTTTAAAGTACTGCTGTTGGATTTAGGAGAAAATGTTTTTACATTTGATCATAGCCAAAAGGCTGGGAAGCGATTAGAAAATGTTTTTAAAAAAAGAAATTAAATTTATGAGTGGTAAGCAGGGATCAGTAGTAGATCATTTCCTTTTCTAGGGATTGAATCTAAGGGATTCACAATTAACTACAACCCTAGCCCTTTATAAATTTTGTATTTTGAGACAGGTTCTTGCTAAGTTGCCCAGACTGGGCTCGAACTTGCAGTCTTCCTGCCCCAGCCTCCATGGGATTATGGGTGTATGCCACCATGCCTGGTTAAGTAATGTTTTTCTTGATGGAAAAATATATATAATCAGGATTTTCATGCTTTGTATTATCCGGTTCCTGACAATTTTATGGTTGTTTTCTGAGTTAGGGTAATGTCCAGGTATGGAAACTACATATCATGCTGAGGTATATGTAGCTCAGTGGCATAGTGTTTGCCTAGTATTTGCAAAGTCATGAATTTAATCCCCAGCACCACTGGAAAGAAAATAAAATAAAAGAGGAAGAGGGAGGAGGAGGAGGAAGGGGAAGGGGAAGGCTATGTATCATTTCCAAACCGATGAAGGGGTCAGGTTGCTTAGCCTGCTGTATGCCTAACACTTCCTCTCCTGTCCTGCAGGTGCACTGATCTTTAGCATCTCGATCTAGACACCCCCTACTAAGGTGTGGGGCTTTTAGGATGGCAGCAGCTATTTCCAACTGTAACCCTTTGTTTGCAAAACAGAAGTAATAATTATTACCCAAACGGGTTGTTGTGTGGATTCACAGTTTGCAAGCATGATGTTTGTGTCATTGTGGTTTGTTTTGAACTATTCACTCTGCTTTCTTTTGTCAGTACTTTGAATATTTTATATGAAGATATGCAAATATTTTGAAATTAAGTAGGAAAACATTATAAGGTTGTATGTGTAACATGGATTTATAAGCCACAGAGTCCTCAATGGTGGGGTAATTGCTGCTTCAAGGTTTTCTTAGTGGGTGAGGTTGGGCAGTGCCTGCACAGAGGCATCCCTAGCTAGGTCTCTTTCCCTGTCATTCATTGGTATCTGTGTCTCTCTCCCTTTTTCTGCTGGTACCTATAATTACAATTTAAAACCACAGGGTATATTCTAATTTCTTATGATTTTATTTCATCAGTTGTAGACACTCATGAAGAAGATAATAATCATTTTCTACCATACTACCTGATTTTCAATCCTTTACTCTTCCTTGTCTTTAACTTCCATGCTTTTCTGGTATAGTTAACTATATTTGAAGAGTTATGTGAGATTGTCATTCTTTAAAATCGTGTTATTTCAGATTGTGCTGTGACTGCACCGACCTCACCCTTACCTTCGCCTGGGAATGGTGGTGAGACTGCACCAGGGACAGTTACGCAGCCGAAGAAAATTCGAGGAATTGGGTTTGGAGATATTTTCAAAGATGGGTCTTTGAAACTTAGGACAAGAACATCCAGTAGTGAAACAGAAGAGAAAAAACCAGAAAAGGTGGTAATGATGAATTTAACTTAGATTACCTTTAGTCATTCTCTCGTTAAACATTTTTAAAACATGAAAACTTTACAACTCTGTTACATTTCTTTTTTGGAGATCATAATACTTTGGTTATAAATATGTAGTCTTTGGTGGGAAACTTTTCTTTCTAAATTTGCAATGATTCTTATGTATGAATCTTACTAAATTAGGATGCTTATTTCTTTGTAAATTTTTCTTAGAGGCTTTAAGATTTTTAGTTATCATAGTATAAATGGAAAAGGGGAGTTTTTGGTTTTATTTTTTTCTTTTTTAAGTTAAAGTTTTAGTTTTTCTAAAATTTGAAGTACACCTAGAATGAGTTGTTTTAAAGGGAATTCACAAGGAGATATTAAATTAATTAGGTATTAAACCTTCCTCTGGATTGTCAGTAGTGGTTGCATTTACTGTTCTGTCCTGACAGTATGTAGTTTTCTTTTTCATGAGCATTTTACTGGCATTGTCAAATTAAGCAAAGTTAATGAACTGTAATTTGTAAGATTTAATAAAGTGCTTTAAAATCAACTTGCAAATTTTTATTTTGAGGGAAAAAAAACTATAGTACAGTCTTTAAAACATTTCTTTCCAGGATTTTGCTCCTTGTGTTAGTATTTTGGAGATTCAGATTGTTTAGGTAGGAGGCATCTTCTTTGATTTTAAGGGGGAGTTTTCCGCATAGTTAACATTTGTGTCTACTCATGAGATTAAAATGTTTCTGTATTTATTTTCTTAATTTAGTTACATTTCATTTATAAGACCATTTTGAATAGTGAAATATATTCTGTCATTTGCTCCCGAAATGGTCGGTTTTGACATTTCATTTTTCTTTGTTTGCTACATATATTTCCATGTAATAGTGAATTGGATTCAGGAAAAAGAACTTCTGCTTTCTACTGTGCTCTTCCCTAGCTCTGAGACTGTACCACACCAAGACGTTAGGGCGGCATTCCCAGTTTTTGAAGTTATTCTCTTAGTTAATGACAGCTAGAAATGTTGGAGAAGCAATTCTTGTATTGTGAGGGGCTTTAGATGATCTAGAGTCCCTTCCAATTCAAAATCTTATGATTATACTGGGTAACTATCGATTGGTGGTTACATTAGTAATCCTAACAATCACCATTAATGTGTACTACTCGGAGCTGTAGGTGGCGCTAGTTTTGAAAGTAGGGTGGTGAAGTTTGGGAGAAATTAAAGGAAGTGTCTTAGATAAATACAAAATGCAGTGACAGCTGTGTGGTCAAATATTTTATTCAGTCTAAGGTTAAAACTTATCTCTGGGGGCAGAACTTAAAACACTTGTTCAAAGTAATGAAATATGAAGAACTATCTCATTTTTGTCATTAATTTTATTGGTACATTTTAGGTATACAATATGCTGACATTCAATATTGGGAATTTGTACCTTTACATAATATATCTTGGTTCTTATTTTTATTTTTTTGGTACTGGTGTGCTTTTATTATTATTTAAAACTTCTTTTTTTTTTTTGGTTTTTTTGAGACAGGGTCTCACTATGTAGTTGAGACTGACCTGGAACTCACTAAGTAGCCCAGGCTGGTCTCGAACTCACAGTGATCCTCCTGCCTCAGCCTCCTGAGTGCTGGGATTACAGGCGTGCACCACCACACCTGGCTTATTATTTAAAACTTCTAAATTAAATTATAATAATGTATTATGAGCACCAGAGCATTATTTAATTTTTAAAAATTAGTAGTTATGGGTTACCATTTAAGGAACTTTTGGAAAGTTTGATAACTGTAAATAGAAACTCTGTTTAATAATATTATCATTATTGTAACTTAATTTAGTTGACCCCATCCTTTTCTGTTTCAGCCCTTAATCATACAATCTCTAGGACCCAAAACCCAGAATATGGAGATAACAAAAACAGACACGGAAGGTAAAATTAAAGGTAAGTTTTTTAATAAAACTTCTGTAGGAGAGACATACTCAAATATGTTACTAAACTTGTTGGAGCCATTTGTTACATTACTGAACAGAATATTAAACTCTGCTGGGTAGAGCAGTATGAGGTTAGATTTTAGAATACTGTGTTCACCGATACATCCCTGCAGGTAGGGCTGTGCCCGAGACATAGACCTTTAGTAAATATTTGAAGGATTATTGATAGAATTGTTTCTTTTTTTTTTTTTTTAAATTTTATTGAGTTTATTGGTACATTTTAGGGATACAGTACAGTTACATTCATTGTTGGGATAATGTACCTCTACATGGCA